AAGGCCCACCTTTCTGAGGACCGGACAGCTTTAGGATCTCTCCAACGTCTTCATTTTAGAGAAGAGAGGGCTCCCCTGGTACCCAAGGCTCTTAAAAGTCACCATCACCTGCCCCAGCCCGACGCCTCCTGCCACCGCAGCGTCTGGCTGGTGCTGGGTGGTTTATGGCTCTTCGTTGAATGGAATGAGTGCGCTGGCCTTTAATACAGATCTGGTGAGGGCTGCGGAGGACCCATTCAGACCCCATCACTGACGGACACCTCACCGCCCAGCCTCTTCCTACTAACAACGTTATTGAGATGTAGTTTCATATCATAAAGTCGCTTTTTCAAGGCGCAGCGAGTTCTTCCCCTGCCCTGCCTTCCGGTCTCACTATTCCACCGCTGTCTGAGCCTCGGAAGCTCAGGTGAGTGACAGAGCACCTTCTGGCAGGTGCTGCGGGAGGAGGGACTGCTGGGAGCCTTCAGGTCGCCTTCCCGGGTGCTGCCTGGGCAGGAATCCTCGCCCCACGTGAGTGCCGCAGATGGGCCAGACACAAGCAGCCTGGAGGCTTCCGGAACAAACAGTGTTTGGGAGGTTGTCATATTTTATTTTCTGTTTTGTTTTGAAAAGAAGCATTTCACCAAGAAGGCAAACTTCCTCAACGAAAACGGAATAGCCAGGCGCCAGGAGCATGGCTTGTGACGTGGGCCATCTCCCAGGAGAAGACAGATGGGCGCGGGCCCTGGCGGTGGGTGTTGCCTGGTTCCGAGAGGGTCGCCCTGAGGCCACGCGGCAGAGGGGAGCGCCATCCGCCCATCAGAGGGACCTGGGTCCTGGGTCCCAGCTCAGGGCGGCTCTAGTCTTGCCACGTTAATACATTTCTGTGTTAGCAGATTAAGCACATCCCTGCTCGTGGCTCAGCTCTGACCATTTGGTTCTGCTCTGGAATCTTCAGCAGCTCCCCCTGGTCCCGGAGCTCAGTTCATCCCACCTTGGCCCACAAGGACCCATGAGCTTCACCTGCTCGTGGCCCCCCTTTGTGTAGTTGAGCTGGGCCACTGCCTTTCACAGGTGCTGCCCAGGGGTCCTGCTCCTGCCTGGACCTCCCTCCCACCATCATGTCCAAACCCCACAGCCGTCGAGGTGCCTCTCCAGTGCCCCTCCAAACCTGTCTTGATCACTCCCATGTGGTGAGATCCTCCTTCCTGGGCCTCTCAAGCCGCGTAGGACACTTCTCTTGCTCTTCTTCAGTTCTGGTCCTTAAGTCTGGCTCTTCTGTTATTGGCTTAATCTTCTTATTCTTGAATCCTCTCCTGGAGGATGGGGGCTACGCTTTCCGCGCCTTCTGTGCTCCCAGCACCGAACACCTTTGCGTAGGTGTTGATGGAAGTGAGGCCACATATGCGCACTGCCTGCTGGTGGTGGAGCCAAGAGCAGGGTCTGGCTCCTTTAAGCTAGTGAGCCCTTATCCACGGGACACGGGTTCTCCTGTCACCTCTCGGCATCCCTAGCTCAGAGGGACACAGGGACGGAGTCCTCAGGGCGGCAGGCAGGTGGGCGGCGGGAGGAGGTTGTACACAGCCTGTGTGTCTCTGGGGAGTCCCTGGTGGTCTGGTCACTCGGGAGGGACGTGGGCAGAGGAGGGGTGTTGGCTGCCCCATCACAGAGGCACCGGGCCTGCTCTCTGGGGGTGGGTTGGGGGCAGTCACACTGAGAAGAGCCAGGCACCATTCGTCTTTTTGAGTCGTATCGCTAATGACACATAAGTGGGGGGTGGAAATGTTCAAGCTTAGCAAACTGCTGTAATAAAGATTGGTTTGGCCAATAACCATCAAATTAAATCTAGGGGGAAATTTTGATGAGGAGCAGGATATTAGTATGAGCTTACAGTGTCCCTCTGCAGAATGCTTATAACTTCCAGGGAGAAAAATCCTACCGTGAGGAAGCCAATAGCATCGTGCCTGGTGATTTAACAGCAACCTTCCCTGGACCCTGCAAACACTGTGCTAGGCGAAGGCAGCCAGTCACAAAGGACAGCGTGTCCCCATCCTGCACGGTGCCACTGACATGAAATGTCCAGGACCGGCCCATCTGTAGAGGCAGCAGTAATTGTCGGGGGGGGACGGGGGCGGGAGGAGGACTAGACAGTGATGCTGACGGAAGTGATGAAAATGATCTAACATTGATTATGGTCATGGTTACATAACTCTGACGATACTGAAGCCACTGAATTATTAAGGGTGGATGTTACATTGTGTGGATTATATCTCAAACCTGTTAAAAATGAGCATCGGTGAGGAGGGACAGACAGACAGCACATGCCCTGATGTGACGTCCTGCGAGGGACCCGCATCACTCCTGCGGTATTCTGGCTGGGAGTGCAAATCCTGAACTGAGTCATGAGGAGATATCAGAAAAGCCCATGTAAGGATTTTCTACAAAATACCTGGCCTGTGTTCTCCAAAAATATCAGTCATAAAAGATTGAAAAAGACTAAAAGCATGACAACTAAATGCAAAGGATGATCTTGGATTATATCCGGTACTAGAGGAAAAATGACTACCAATAAGGACATTAGTAAAATGATTGAAAAAATTGGAATATAGACTGTAGATTAGATAAAATATATTCACCTGGCTGGTGTGGCTCAGTGGTTGAGCATCGACCTAAGAACCAGGAGGTCACAGATCAATTCCCGGTCAGGGCACATGCCTGGATTGTGGGCTCATTCCCCAGTGGGGGATGTTCCGGAGGCAGCTGATAGATGATTCTCTCATCATGGATGTTCCCATCTCTCCCTCTCCCTTCCTTCCTGAAATCAATAAAAATATATTTAAAAGTATATCCATATCACATTTCCCGAAATTGATATCCATAATATGAATATGTAAGGGAATACATACCTTTGTTCTTTGATAAAATATCATATGGTTAGAAGCCAAACATACTGAAATATTAAGGAATAAAGGCCTGTGATATATTCAGCTTACTTACAAGTGGTTCAGAAAAATGATAATATGAAGAAAGCAAGAGAGAGAAGGATAAAACGAATGTAAAGGGTTAGAAATTGGCAATCTAGGCAAAGGGAGGATGGGAGTTCTCTGTATTATTCTTGAAACTTCTCTGTAAGTTTGAAAGTATTTTAAAACAAGGAGTGAAAATATCATATGGTTAGAAGCCAAACATACTCATACAGTTCACAGCAATTTCACCGAAATCCAAATTACTGCGCCTGGTGTTAGTCACATCCTTTCTCGTCACTGAAGGCCTCTCTCCCAGCTCTAACTCACTCAGGGCCACCTGGAGCCACAGGAAGGAAGTCAAGGTACAGCTGGCATTGGCTCGCAGATCCCAGGCCCTCCAGAGAGGTTGCCCAGGGATCCCTGCTGTTAAAAGCCCATGGTCGCACCAACGCTCATCGCAGCCTTTGGGTGTCAGCTGTCCCTCCGCTCCACAGTGCAGGCTCGATTATTACGAAAGTGACTTTCCCAGAAAGCTGGGGCCAGTGCCCACAGCTCGGTTCCTGGCAGGGGCTGGTTGGAACTGAACGGGCTGCATCGGTAGCCGTCCTTGGGGGCCGACCAGGAATGTAAATGCTTCGGCCAGAGCTGGACCAGAGCCCAATGCTACAGAGCTATTTGGAGAGTTCTTTCTCTTCTTGGTCATTCCTCTTTTTGACATCTCAGGATGGAGTCAAGAAGCATTCATGGACCTCAGACCAACAGCCAGTGACCTCGCCATCCCAGGAAGGCACGGCCGCGCTGCCTCTGAACCTTGGCTACCCTGAGGGGTCATGTGAGCGGAACACACAACTGGAATCTTTCTGTGGCCTGACTCCGAAGGGAACAAACAAAAACATGGCCATCTTAGGCCCAAATAAGTGGGGTTTTAAGGCTGGAGAAAGAAAGGGGGGCAGCGGAGGATGCACCGAACCTTGCAGGTTGGGCTTGACCGAAAGAGTTGGCTAGTCCTGGGCTTCAGTGCCGAGGCCAGACTCTGCGTCTGAACATCCTGAGAAGAGGGCCTTGGGAAGTGATCGGGGCGAAAGGAAAGCCACGCCAAGCCACGGCTTTGGCCAGATACCTAATTGCTTGGGCCCACTCTTGGGCAAGACTGCTGTGCGTTTTATTCCCCCTATAGCTTCTCCCCTAAGCCCAGTGCAGCCGGTGTCGCAGAAAGTTCTCGATCTCCTGGTGCAGGTTTCCCTGAAG